ATTGCGCAACACCTTGTTGAAACAATAATCACTGAGATTATTATTTTTGTTGGGTAATTAATTTGTTGATTTTTTTAATGTTATTTAATAAAGCTACGAACGTTTTGATAAGCAGTCAGAGGAGGACCTGCTGGTTTCAGCGTCAGTTTGTCACCTAAAGCCGAGATCGAGTCAAAACCTGCGATCGACGTGTTGCAGCTCTGATCTAGTAAAGCACAGAGTAACGCTGGAGTAGTAAAATACGGCCCCCTGTTTGACAGCCGCTCCCCTCTCTTGCAGGTACTGCGGACCCCTGCTAAATCTTTTAGGGGTACCCAACCCTACCCCCCTACTTTCACCCCTGCCCTTCATATATTCAGCTACAATGTTCCCTTTGTACTTCCAGGTGATGCTGTTTTCTCATCACCTGGGTTGAGCATTTTTGAGTATTTATCCTGCAGCAGCAGATCGAACCTCCATGTTCTCAACTGTTGAAACGATGACAGAAACACCCTGAAAGGACCAACAGCGGCTTAGAGCCACATCCCCTCCAAGCTTCCTGTTCTGGTTTCTGATACATTTACCTTTCTGATGACTACAGGAGAGCTGCTAGTGACTACTCACAGTTACTGGAGTAACTTTTTTTTATTACAAAGTACCTTTAGGAGTATTTTTATGACACTTTTTATTTTTACTTCCATAATATTTTATGAAGTCTCACTACTCTCAATTGAATAAAATGAATGGATACTCTACAAACTGCAAGTAACTTCACTGAATGAAATCAAACATTTTAATCAAAAATGTTCTGGATTCAGTCTCAAACTCAGTTTATGTTTAAGTGAGACCTCCTGTTTGTACACAATCTTTGTTGTTCTGTTATTTTCTATTTGGAGATCAGGTGAATATGCAGTAACCTGTATATATCAATGGAAGTATTTTACCCTCTGCACACATTACCAGGGTGAAAGTAGGGGGTACGGTCGGGTACTGCGTCCCCCTAAAAGACTTAGCAGGGGGTTCGCAGTACCTGCAAGAGCGAGGAGCAGCTGCCAGCTGTAAAAAAAAAAATCAATGGGTTTTCTGTGCAGCCGTGAGTGCAGCCACTAATCAGCCGTGACTGATTAGTTTTTCAAGAACAATCTAAAACTCAATATTGTTATTTGCAATGCTGTTTTGCAAGGAAAATGTTTTGCCACAGATTCAGATTACTTTGATCGAGTCGAAAATGTTGTGGGCTAAGAGAAGACTGGCCAGAGCCAAATCATAGTAAGAGATTTCTGTTTGAAGAGATAAGGAACAAATTCACAAATCTGTTATTCAGCACCTTTGAGATGGAGCAGATTTGATTCCAGGAAGACCCAATACGCATTGAGTATAAATTATGCCAGAATAACTGTGCAAATGAAGGAAAGCAATGCCATTTGTTAAAACTGTCAAATACACATCAGTAGAGATGAAACTCTATTTAAAAAAGTGATGTAAGAAGCAGAAGGTGGGAGATTTTGGATATTTGTAAAATATGTTTTTGTGATGTTTTAAGGAAAATCTCTTCCTGCTTGGCCTGAGCAGCAAAGAATCTGAGTGCTGTGTTACTTTTTTATTCATATATTCCATAAGTTAGTCACAGAGTCTGGGTCAACAGCAATGCATTTCTGCTTCTTTTAACACAGGAGGTCTGGCCGTTGAAACTTGTGTTAGGTAGGCCCGCAATGACTCTCACTGGTTGTGACGATTCATTGCATTACTTAAAACAGTCTTAAATAATGTCATGTTTGAAATGCAAAGTTCATGAGTGCTTTGTAGACATATTGCTGTAGGATCAATTAGACGCCTTCATGTTTAGGACAGAGTCATGTCAGTCTTATGCACACTCCAAAAAAAAGCATTAGCTCAACAACTAAAAGCCCAAAAAAGGTTCTTCTGAAAATTGAAATTAGAACAGAGAAATAAAACAAAATGAGCAGTAAATGACTCAAACCCAGAAGAAGAAAGTCTGCTTGCTGTGTGTGCTAAAACATATGAAGTATAATTGCAGCAAATATAAAAAAGGAAAATTAAACATTTGAATTTAAGATATGTTTAGAAACAGATAATGTCATGTTTGAGGAAAAACTGATATTCCAATGAAATCTGACTGATGAATGAAAGGGAAAAAAAACAAGAGAGAAACACAATATCATGATATTCAGTGTGAAGATTTTACTGGAAACATACAGAAAAACATTACGTTAATTCCAGAATAATCCTGGAATAAGTTTCCAAGAAATCATTAAGAAGAGAGTCAAAAACAAACAGATTGAATCCATGAATCTGAAAACGTGTTTCTGAGTCAGAGGAGACTCTTTAGACTCAACTCAGCACAGATAAACTAAAGAATTAGGAAAGCAGACTGTAAATCCAGGATACAGAGGTTCAGTGAATGTGGTGTTGAAGGTGTGGAGGTGGATCAGTGAATCAGAGGAAACTCTGTAGAAGGACAGAATGCCAGCAGGCCAGTCCACATACACTGCTACTCTGTTAGAGACAGAGGAGGAGGAGAGATGTGTTCTTCTGTTATTGTGACAGACGTAGTAACCGCCCTCAGAGCAGCTCAGACTCCAGGAATGACCATTCTTTCCAAACCTACAGTCTGTACTTTCTCCTTTCCTCCTGATTCTTCTGTAACTCACTGATATATTAACTCCTCCTGTCCACTCGACCTCCCAGTAACAGCGACCAGTCAGACCAGTTCCACACAGAAGCTGAGCACAATCAAATCTGTCTGGATGATCAGGATATGGCTGAAAATCCCCCATACATATCACCTTACTGTTGTCTTCAGACGCTACAAGTTTTCTGCTCACTGTGTTTGTGTCGATGGTGAGTTGACAGGAATCTGATGGAGAGAACAACCAGTTATTGATCATTTATTGATCTTTGATGACTCCTGAATGACAGTTTGAGCTGCTTTGTCGTCATGAATCAGGTGAAAACACACTTACACTTCCTCAGACCTGGTGTCAACCATCGGCCTCCAGCAGGCTCCACCCTGAAAGGAGGAGGGGGTCAGACCATCAGCCTCTTTCAGCATGCTCCAGTCTACACACTGACAACACTTGGGTACCTGTTCCATCCACACTCCCACATGGAGATGAGATTCCTGCTTTAATCAGTGGATTGATAGAACATGTGGAGAATTATCCTTTCTTGTTCTAGATGTATTCATATGTATGATGTATGGTATGTATTCTCTCACTGAAGAAGAGTCAGTGAGTTGAATTCATGAATTTGATTTATTAATACCAAATTAATCCATTTGTTCATGCTATCCTTATGGGCTAACAGAGCAAAATAGCACATACAACAGTTTGTAATTCTCTTTGTTAGCCTCTGTCTAAGTTACACCGTAAAGAGGGCGTTTCCTAGTGTGTCAGTTCATTTAACTTTTGCACAGATGCAACAGGATGAGCATGAGATCATTTCTGAAATTTTTTATTTGTTCAAACAATATTGATTCATGCCTTTTAGATACCATCTGTAAAATGATGATTCATAGATTTTTCCCATTAATGTTAACAGAATTTCAATCATTCATCCTGGTTTTCTACCGGTCGCTTTGCAGCTGTCTGTGCTGCTTCTATGTGACACACAGCTCCCCTCTGCAAATTCTGCAGAGTGGAGGAGATTAATCTTTTTCTGGAGATAATGTGTTTTGTATTTCTTAAATCATTTAACATGCTTCACACATTTTCAGTGAAATATGTGTTTTCAGTGAAACAGTCATGTTTTTGGACTGTGGGAGGAAACTGGAGTACCCGGAGAAAACCGACGCATGCACAGGGAGAACATGCAAACTCCATGCAGAAAGACCGGGGCCGGGAATTGAACCCAGAACCTGTTGCTGCAAGACAACAGCTCTACTGTGCAGCCTCAGTAACATCAGTAACTTGAATTAATTAGCCAGTCATGAGAGAAAAAAGAGTGTTCAGAATGTCAAGTCATATTTCACCATGTTACTAATTCATTTATACATGTCACAGTTCATAACTAAATACTTAATTTGCAAAGTGAATATTTAGCTCCAAACTAAATGTTTTCCAACAGACTGACTGAAGACATTCCTCCTCTTCCTCCATCAGCCCCTCTCTGCTCCTCCATCAGCCCCTCTCTGCTCCTCCATCAGCCCCTCTCTGCTCCTCCATCAGTTCCTCTCTGCTCCTCCATCAGCTCCTCTCTGCTCCTCCATCAGCTCCTCTCTGCTCCTCCATCAGTTCCTCCATACCTGAGAGTTTCCAGTCTCCAGTCTGGATCCTTCAGTCCAGCCGACAGCAGCTTCACTCCTGAGTCTCCTGGATGATTGTAGCTCAGGTCCAACTCTTTCAGATGGGAGGGGTTAAAGGTCAGAGCTGAGGCCAGAGAAGCACAGCCTTCCTCTGAGATCAGACAGCCTGACAAGCTGCAGACACACAATTCATCACATGATGAGAAACAGAGAACGCTGAGGGAGAACATGGGTTCTCCAGTTTTCTTATGTGTAACCCCTAATGAACCCAAACCCTATTGGACAGAAATCTGGTATCAACAGTATTGAGATCATTTTACCTGAGAGTCTCCAGGTTGCAGTTTGGACTCTCCAGTCCAGCAGAGAGAAGCTTCACTCCTGAATCCTGCAGGTCGTTGTTACTCAGGTCCAGTTCTCTGAGACTGGAGGACTGGGAGCTGAGAGCTGAGGACAGAGCTTCACAGCTTCTCTCTGACAGGTTATAGACACTCAGTCTGAGGAGACAGGGAGGAAATATGGAATTAAACATTTTATCAAAAATTATGCTAACTCCTTCACAGTCGCCATGGTTCTCCTTGGAAATATTGATATGTATATGTTTTCTTTGGCTGTGAACTGATTAATTCTGCAGATGGGCCATCTGCCATGAAGGAGTGAACTGCAGGTAACAATTACACAGGTAATACAACTGTTAATTTCCACAATACAATAATCCAGTTTCAGTTTTAGTAGGAATGGATACTGCTGCAATAAAACTTAACATCTTGGATAGCCGCCAAAGAAAGTCAGACTGTAATTGGCATCAGAAGATCACCCCCTCCTCATCTTCACTGGCAAAAGTGCATGAAGCAATATCTTTAATCAATGCAAGTTATTGCCTGATTTATGTATTATATAACTGAATTAGAGTTCAGATCGGGGGGCCGTTCCTCCCAACCACGCCCCTCCAGGTCTCACTGTCATTGCCCACGTGAGTGTTGAAGTCCCCCAGTAGAACAAGGGAGTTCCCAGGAGGGGCACTCTCCAGTACCTCCTCTAAGGACTCCAGGAAGGGTGGGTAATCTGAACTGTTGTTCGGCCCGTAAGCATATACAACAGTCAGAACCCGCCCCCCCACCCATAGGCGGAGGGAGGCTACCCTCTCGTTCACTGGGGTAAATCCCAACGTACAGGCGCCGAGATGGGGGGCAACAAGTATGCCCACTCCTGCCTGGCGCCTCTCAACACGGGCAACTCCGGCGTGGAGGTGGGGGAGGATGCCGGTCAGACCTGGCAGGCCCAAACGTGTTGTGAGGGTCTGCTGGGAACGTCTGGCGGAGTCCCCTGTGAGACGGAGCTTTAACTCCCCTCCGGCAGAACTTCGAACACGTCCTGGGGGAGGTGGGAGACATTGAGTCTGAGTGGACCATGTTCAGTGCCTCCATTGTCGAGGCAGGTTATCGAAGCTGCGGCCTCAAGGTTGTCAATGCCTGTCGCAGCGGCAACCCTCGTTTCCGTTGGTGGACACCTTTGGTGAGGGATGCTGTCAGGCTGAAGAAGGAGTCCTATCGGGCCTTTTTGGCCTGTGGGACTCTAGAAGCAGCTGATGGGTACCGGCAGGTGAAGCGGCATGTGGCTCGGGTGGTTGCTGAGGCAAAAACTCAGGCGTAGGAGGAGTTTGGAGAGGCCATGGAGAAAGACTTCTGCATGGCTTCGAGGCGATTCTGGTCCACCATCCGGCGTCTCAGGAGGGGGAAGCAGTGCAGCACCAACACTGTTTATAGTGGGGGTGGTGTGCTGCTGACCTCGACTCGGGACGTTGTGGGCCGATGGGCAGAATACTTCTTAGACCTCCTCAATCCCACCAACATGCCTTCTGTTGAGGAAGCTGAGCCAGGGGACTCTGGGTTGGGCTCTCCAATCTCTGGGGACGAGGTCGCCGAGGTGGTCAAAAAGCTCCTCGGTGGCAGGGCCCCGGGGGTGGATGAGATCTGCCCGGAGTTCCTTAAGGCTCTGGATGTTGTAGGGTTGTGTTGGCTCACGCGACTCTGCAATATCGCATGGACATCGGGGGCAGCTCCCCTGGATTGGCAGACTGGGGTGGTGGTCCCCCTGTTCAAAAAGGGGGAATGGAGGGTGTGCTCCAATTACAGAGGGGTCACACTCTTAAGCCTCCCTGGTAAGGTCTATTCAGGGGTCCTGGAGAGGAGGGTCTGTCGGATAGTCGAACCTCGGATTCAGGAAGAGCAGTGTGGTTTTCGTCCTGGTCGTGGAACACTGGACCAACTCTACACCCTCAGCAGGGTCCTGGAGGGTTCTGGGAGTTTGCCCAACCGGTCTACATGTGTTTTGTGGACTTGGAGAAGGCGTTCAACCGTGTCTCTAAGGGGGCCTTGTGGAGGTTCTCCAGGAGTATGGGGTACCAGGCCCTTTGATA